TCGTCAATGCGTTTCTTGTGGATAGCAGTAAACATTCTGTTGTATAGGCTGTTCTCTGACATGGTGGATCTGAGCCATGATTTGATGTGACGCATCACGCTAAAACTTCTCTCTGCTGTAGCTGAACTAATTGGAACGGACATGTAAAATTTCAATAGTTTATGCACTTCAGACAGACATTTCTTGGTGCTTTCTTTCGTTAAATATTCTGCAAAGTGTCGAGAGGCTCGTAACTTCCTTAATGGGTAAAGACTGTTCTGCATTGAAAAGCTTTAGTACAACTGGTAGTTCACCTAGTTGAACCACCAGTGAGTCCTTATCGATAACTGAAGGTAAATGTCCTAATTTTGGACGAATTTCATCTAGGGGAATTGTTTTATTCACTGCTGCAAGAAGACATGACTCTATCACTTCAAGAATTTTCAAATCCTCTTGGTGAAAACGTCTCTGCTCTGCATCTACGACAGCGAGCTTTATCCTTATTAAACTGAAAAACATTCGATTCTTCATCATTATGACCCCGAATTGGAAGTCCTTGCCTCAAAAGGGTTTACAAAGTATTCAAATGAGCTATCAAACCAGTCCGTCTAAGGTATTGCTACTTTTGACGTAGATCATCTATCTGGCTTGCCACATCAGGTCGCTCCTTTGTCGATTCTTTTGAAGCATATCGATGATTCTCGCTACGTTCGTGGTCTTCTAGTCTTTCTTTGCCTTTTTTCCAGTTTTGAAAACCAGCTGCTCTGTCATAGTAGATGAATGGCGAGGAATCGTGAGGTTGTTTGAACAAAGTACATACTCCACAAAATGCTGCCTTTTTTTCCTCTGTGATACCATAACCACTTATGATCATCAACCGACTCCTTTTGAAAATATCTACCTTTATGTTCGCTCATACGCTTCACGTTTGTGGTAAAATACAGGCCAGAATTCGTCGCTTTAATCCAATGGTCGACTTCTTGACTTGACTGCTGAGTGAATGAAGAGGCTTCCTTTTCTCAAGCATCAGTACTTCTGTAATCAGTTGTGCTTATGGTACAGTCAGGATTATCATCGACAACAGCAGATGTCTCAGATTGCGTAACGAAAGAAATTTTGGTTTGACCACGTACTTTTGAAGCTTCCAAGAGCTGCTTTTTAGCAAGACTTTGTAGGCGACTCGCTTTTGGCATTTCAAATTCTCAATACTACGAAAATGGAAAATATACACTATACTTTCTCTTGCATTCCATTTATTTTGTCATTCATCTACTATGTAAATTTCTTAGACTTGATTATATAATTATATTTATTCCACTTACGTATTACACCTCTCATCTATAATTCATAACGCTATCTTGATTCCCACAAAATCATTTTCATAAACATGACAACATCACTATCTTTATTCTTTGTTTTGAAACAGTGCTTCCATTCTACATGCTTGTTTTTCCTACAATATCTATGTGTTGAAAGTTTTCAATGAAAATCCCATAGAACGTGGAATTGTTTTTTCCGCTTATCTTAACACCTTCCCTTCCGAGATCGAAGCGTATTACCCGGGAAAAAATCAGATGCAAGAAGTGAGTGTTTGAAATCGCTATATGGTGGCAAAAGGCACAGCGCTGCCCCCGTAAGGGAAGGGCAGTGGGGGCAGCTGCCCCCGTGGTTCCGGCGCCACTGACGAGGCTAACTCTTCGCAAAAGGTCATTTTTTACAGCTGAAACTTTACTACAGTGAGTTTGTTGTAACTTACAACTTTTAACGAGGAAGAGCCCACTGAAAACTACACTGTGTGATAAAAAGGCTATACAATAAGAAAATATGATGAGAAAATATTTGAGCAAAAATTTTTCTTCCATCGGAAGGTAAATTTTCAAACGGTGTCAGACAGTGTTTGTCTTTTGTCATTTAAGTGGATTTAAAGATCTGTTTTTCCGAAGAAAAAAGAAACTTGAATATCCAGTTTTATAAAAAATATTGAGTCTATAACTCGCATTTCTACTTTTTACAGAGCGATTCTCATTTTCATCAATTTTGATAGTGCTTGAAATACTGAATGGTTGTCATCTCCATATCAATAGTATCCTTAAAGACTGATATGTTTTAATAGAAAACCGCAGCTTAAGAGCAGATCGACTGTGTATGACAAAAATATATAGTAGCTATATTAAAGATGTTTTCCTTATATATGTAAATTTTGTCGAATAAAAATTCATACCAACAAATCGTTTTAGTTTATTTGAAAAACGTGAAAATAATTTTGCACTGAGGATGATGTAGAACTGAAATACGTGTAATTCAAAAGATTTTCTTCCTGAAGATAAAACTGACTAGTAAAATAAAATCAACTGAGGTCGAACTAAACATCTAGGATCTGAAAGAATACAATTTTTTTATAAACACGCGAGAAACACGTGTTGACTTAAAGCCCTTAAGTCGTTAACGAGAGAATTCCAACGTCATAAGGCCTCGCCAGACAGATCTTCATCCCAATTACTGCCAGAGGAGCAGAGGGTCTGAAACAACATCTTCATAGTGATAGTAAACGGTGCAAGAAGGCCAATAGGATCGAATATCTTCGCAGATAGCTTTAAAACTGACCTCTTAGTTGCAGGAAGTGATTTTACATAGTGCACTTGCTCTTCAAGATCATAACAAAGCTCGTCGCTGTTCTCATCCCAGCTGATTCCTAGAATTTTGATACGGTTCTCTTGAGATCTGGACTTAGGTTGTGGCTCTGTATGAGGCGAAGGAGTTTTTACTAAATTATCTTCCACCATCGTACTTGGTATATGTTTAACATATGACGAACCCTTTCATTTCCCACCTTAACAAACGGTCGATCTTCATCATTCGCGATAACATTTCGGACATGTTGCGAGTTTGAATGCCATTTTCGAAGCTCGAATCCTCCCTCGCTCATTAATTTTCGAGATATATGATAGATGTATAGAGCTTCGTCCTCATTAGAAGCTCCACCAGCGAAATCGTCAACATATAACGACTCAATTAATAAGGAGACTATTTCTGGATCGACATTCTTGTATTTCGAAACGTGGTGACGAATAATAGTAGATAATATTGCAGGACTTGGGGTTAGACCAAATGATAGGCGTCGGAACTTGTATTCTTTTAGCATCGGGTGAACTTTGTTAATATCGTCAAACCAAAGAAACTTCAGCATCTTTCTGTCTTCGGGAGCCATTTGTATTTAATGAAAAGCCTTTTCGATATCGGCAACAAGCCCAATGGGAAAGCCTCGAAAGTTTATCATAGTGTCAAATAAACGTGGAACCAAATTTGGTCCCTTTTCGAGGTAATCATTGAGTGACTGCTCTTCCTTAGTAGCTCTTGCCGAACCATCGAAAACCACGCGAAGTTTTGTCGTTTCCTTATCTTCTCGAAGTACGCCATGATAGGGTAGGAAATAACCGGTTTCATATGCAACAAGAACTGGGTCAATAATTCCTCCTTTCACTTGATCTTTGATAATTGTATCCTAATCTTGCAATAAGGGTTTATCTTTATCGGGACGAGATTTCAACTGGTATAATCGTTTCAAACACATACCGTAACAGTCTGATTTTGCAATATATTCCCCCTTCCAAGGTAAATTCACTTCATATCGCCCTTCATCCTCCAGATATTGTATATTCTTCAGAAACTCCAGATCCTGTGATTCGCTGAATTCTCTGATTCCCATTGATTCGATCTCCCAAAACCATTTCAAGCATTCATGTAATTTGGGTTCTCTCTTGTCAAGCGGAACTTCTTTTGAAAAAGAATAATCTTCGATGATTAAATTAACGTTTGACAATTTCGAATTAGTCTCGCCATCATTCGTCTGTCCAGTGATAATCCAGCCGAATTCACTATTAATCGCAACAGGACCACCTTCACTTCTTGTAATCTTGCCTGTCATGATATCGAAATAATAATTTGCTACAATTAGAATGTCAATGTTGCTCTCCGTCTGTCGTCTAGAGAGGTATTGGTATCGGAAAGCTGCAACTTCATCGGATGAGGATAATGATTGAGATCAATTGTCGTTGTTAATGGAGAGCAAATATTTGGGAAGCAAAGAGCTGTTATGATTCGATTTCCATTCTTTCCTTTCAGGGACAAATGAACCAAGTCGCATTTTTGCTTTGTAAAATGTTGGTTGCCAAAGGTATTTAAGTTAACAACTTCTTTTCTGATGGGAACTAGTCCACGCCGGTTTTTTAATGAATTCGTAACGTACGTGCGCTGACTACCACTGTCCAAAAGCACGCGAACAGGTATAGAAATGGAACCATTCCCACCATTGCCATATATAAATAGCTGTTTGCAGAAGAGCTTCATTACGCGTTGTTACATGATAGCAACTACAATGATGTAATACCATTTATAAACTATTATTATATCATATTATAATTTCACATTTTTATATTTTGACTTTAAAATGTATTTTGCAATGTCATTAATAATTAGGACATGATCTAGAAGCTTGCTTACATGTGTAAAAATATTTTAGATCCGCAACCGCATTTGTTGTTATTGTGGTTAACTATATCTTGCTGTAACATACTGTATTGCGTATGGGATGTAGGTCACAAAACCACAATACTTCCCATTAGATATTATATATATATGAGTAGTTTACACCAATGAGTACAACCTACGAGGACAACCTACGAGGAGACAAACTTAGGAGGCATAGCCTACAGAAGTAGGTTGACAAGCTACAATCTACCAGACAACTATCTTGGCTTCTGTGCCATAACTATCTTTTGGCTTCTGTGCCTTTAATCTATTTGGAAAACTATTGTGAGTCATTGTTGTACTCACGAACGCTCAAGAATAAAGGCTCGCGGTTGTACTCAGACAGAGGAGATAAGTTTTACTCATACTTATTGATATTATTATTAAGACACTTATCTACTTTAATAATTACGCGTTGATTAATAAATTGTTTGAAGAATATAACTGGTTCACACTATCTTTGTTGCGTGTGGAAATAGAACCAAAATTAATAGTTATTCTTTCGGGACCACGCACGTAACACGCGTTTTTGCCGTATTCGTCGTTAAGTAATTATCTCCATCAATCATAGTAGCTGTGCGAACGTTGTTTCCTTCCTTGGTTTCTGGTAGGTTGTTTCCAGTGGGGGAAAGTTTGGGATCATTTGCATTCTTTTGTTGAGAAGGCGTAAAACTTGACTTAATCACTTCACAAATCGATTGATGATGAGCCCCATGACAACGTCTACAATTCTTCTTTGACTCGCAATTTTTACTGAGATGCCCAATTCGCAGGCATACAAAACAACGATTGTCTCTCCTCAATATACTCTTGCGATCATTCACATCAGTTACTCTATCAAACGATGCCGAAAAGTGCGGCTGTTTACAATAAACACATTGAATATGTTTACCTGAAGTATTTTGAGTCGAAAAGGCGTTCACCGTAGGTATTCGGGGTGTTTGGTGCTGACCTCCTGAATTTTTTCCATGCTGTGGCTGTGGACTTGATTGCACTCCTTCACTTATCTCCCGTGCCTCAATCTTAGTTTTTATTGTATCCAACAACTCATTAATTTTCCAAACGTCTCCCGACGATTTTCGGGCAATTTGTAGACGATTGTCACTAGGTAATTTATTCATGATAATCGGGATAACCATACTACCATAATGTTCAGAAGAAACGCCAAGACTCGATAATCCTCGTACATGAACGCTTACTTATCGTATATGTATATGTATCTTACTTGGCTAGTTCTACCGTTGGCACAAGCTTGAATCTTTAAAATTTCATCCATGTGAGCTGCTATGGTTTGCTGGGTTTTCCCGAAGCGATCGTTCAAGATTTTTACGGCAGAGTCGTAATTGGCATTAGTTAATGTTAGACCTTTAATGGCCCTCGCTGCGTTTCTCTCGAGAAGCGATTTCAGATAGTTGAATTTGTTTACCTTCGAAATGTTTGGATTACTGTGAATCGCAGAATCATGCAGATCCAAAAACGAACTCCACTCCGTAACCTTGCCACCATATTTCGGGACCTCCAGCTTAGGAAGCTTCGGCATATTTGACTTAAACTGAACCGTCGTCGTACAGTTGTCACTCGTTACATTTCCTTCGTTTACAATTTCGCTCGTCGCTTGATTAAGGCGCATCTCCACTAAACGATTTTTGTGACGATCGTCTTAAATTTTCCCGACAATATTTCGAACACGAATTATAGGACGATTTTGTTAGTCATCTACACTAGACGATTATTTCGCGGTGTTTTCCAATGAGCAAAATGGCGTCTATAAATAAAAGATATATTCTATATTTCCTGCTTCGTAGAAGATATTTATTTCTTTACAATCTTCACCAAAAAATGCTCAGGGAGAACACCAAAACAAGAAAAAGGAAACGTCGATTTTGGATAAGAAAGCTGTACGAAGAGAGAAATGTGAAAGGAGAATATAACTTATTGATAAATGATATGCGACTCCACGACCATGAAATGTTCTTTAGATACTTTCGTATGTTTCCAAAGACATATGAAAGTTTGCTAAAGTTGATAGGACCCGACATAAAGAAAGTTTCAGCGAAAACGAGAGAACCTATTGGACCTGACAACTTCTGTTGTTTCTTCGTTACTAGTAGCCATGTTGAAATCATTAATATGAACTGCTAGGTTGGCCATGTGCAGTGCTTGCTCATCTCTGGTATTTGATTGGCTAAAGTTTTGACGATCGTAAAGCGCTTGACGAAAAGTTAAAACAGTTTAAACTTTTCGTCAGAATCAAAATCGTCAAAAATTTCGTCCGAACGAAAAGCTTTTTGCCTCTGCGCATGTGTCGTCGCGAAAATCTAAGACAATCGTCACAAAAATCGTCTAGTGGAGATGCGCCTTTACTTGAACCTTCGATTAAACAATAGTTTTCCGTCGCATTTGCCAAATTTTCGTTAGAATTCTCGATACTTTCGTTTTGGCCAGGGTTTGACATGTTCGTCAAATTCGAGTTCGATATGGTATCGTTGACATTCGTATCAACGAGACTGTCATTCTTAGCGCATTTAATATACCTTTCGATTTTTCGTTTTATACTCATAACTCGATTTCACCTTGTATTTCATTAACATCACACGCGTTCAGTATTTCTTCATCGAGTTCACTTAATATTTTTAGTTTCCCTTCGAGTTGTTGTGCGATGATTTCGCTACGTTCTACAAGATCATTATGTCGTGGCTGTGATAACAATTGGGGCCTGTTTATATGGAGCCGAGTTACCCGGCTGAGCGAGTTACTCGCCTAGCGGGGTAAATCGGCCCTTATATAAAATGTATGCATTTTCCCGGTGAATCGTTTATATGACACATCCGAGTAACTCGCCTTGCCGGGTAACTAGGTTTGTGTAAGCGAAGGTGTTCCACCTATCGCACGAATCAACTCGCAGCTCGCTGCGAGAACTCGCAAACTCGCAACTAGTATTTTTTATGACCTCGCAGATAGTTCAGATTTTTCAACTATTTTTTTCTCGCAGCTATTTCAAATAAAAATTAACCAATGACAGAAAGGCTACTGATCACGTGGCATCGTTTTTAGCATTATGTTATTTTCCCCATTTTTTTCAAATAACAAACTACAAAATGTCGGATAGACAAGAACGAAACGAAAGATGGAGTGATAAAAAGATCGAACTTTTAATTGAAACAGTAAGAAAATTTCACGTTTTGTACATGGTAAAAAGCCGTGAATACAGAGGCAAAACACAAAAAGAAAATGCATGGCAATGTGTGGCAAACGAAGTTGAACTACCAGGTCAGTCCGAAAACACTGAAAAATGCTATAGAATTGCTAAAGAACAGTATAATTCTTAATTATTTTTCTATTTTGTCTTCAAAGTTTCATCATGTCAAGCGAAATGGAAAGGATTAAGAGATACTTTTTCAGAGAATGTAAGAAATCAGAATTTACCTTCAGGTTCTGGAACAGGAAAAGAAATAAGATGGAAATGGTTTAGAAGCATGGATTTCATCAGAGAAACCATATTGCACAGAGCCACTTCAAGCAACCTCAGATGCAACCAAAACAGTGAAAAACTTCATGAAATTGATGAGGAAGACATTGTTAATAGTGATTCAAATGAAATTGAGCAATACAGCATTGGAGCACTAGCATCAACTACAGAGAAAAACAAGAAAGGGTTGGAGTTAAGTCCAGTTGGAAGAAAAAAATTAAAGCACTCCCCCATAAAAAGAAAAACTTCTGTGGATCGAAAAATTGACCTAGAAATATTAAAAATTTTGAAAGCAGATGAAAAGAATGGCAATGCCTGTGGAAACCAAGGCAATTCAGTAGAGGATGATTGTGTGGCATATGGTAAATATGTTGGAGTCACATTAAGCAAGTTTGATAATTATCATTAGCCAAAATGAAGATAGCACAAGTTTTGTTTGAGGTGGAATCCAGTTTGACAAATTTTTCATCAAGTCCTTGACCAAAAAGACAAAGAATAAATCAACTGTCTTAAAACATTGTTATAAAGTTGAATTTCTTTGTAAATGATTATGTAATTGTAAAGGAGAGCTGTTTTACTGTTTGCACATGTTATATTCTATATATTTGCTTTCAGCTTTGGTTTTAAGAAACAAGACAGGGTTTTTTCCAAACTATATTAACATAAACTACATCTAATTTAATAAAATTTACTTAAAATGTCATTTGCTTTAGAGAAAAACACTGAGTTTACATTAGCAATAGTTAAACTTGTAAGAATGAAAAATACCCATGCAAAGAGGAAAAGAATGTTGAAAGAATAAATCATAGTCATTCAAGGTTCCCATTAAAAGATATATGATTTTGCTGTTATGGAACTTCACCCTCTGGTTTTATGAAATACTCTTTAAATTGATCTCTTACTTCTGAGGCGTCTTTCTTATAAAAATTTGAACCTTGTCTCCCAATTGATATTAAGCCTTGTGCATTCTCCACAGAAGCTCTCCATGAGCCCAATAAAATTTTTCCATTTCTAAAATAAGGGGATAAAGATAATAATTCTCTTGCAAATGAAATCTCTTCTCAAATTTGTCTAAGAAGTCAAGAATATTTCACATCAGTTTGAGTTCATCAAAATTGATTCATTAAAATTTTTAAAATATGGTATTCTTGAAAAAAATTAAGGAATCTAATCAATTGACGGATGAATCAGATAAAAAAATTGACGGATGAATCAGCTAACCCTTTTTTAATCCCTTCGCTTATTCGTTTTAATGATTGTATCGCGTATTTAAACGACCTATCGTTTGCGAAATGAATACGATATTCCATATCACCCATGCCTTGACCAAATATTACTTGGTTTTGTAAACCTTATCAGGCCTCGTGTCACATGTTAGAAATTATTCAAAAGTTGAACGGAAGAGACCAGTACCGCATCGAGGTTATCTGGCACTTAGTAAGTTTGGGCCCCCCATATCGTTGTAGAGCACTAGCGGATTTTGTTCTTGGTCCGTAATTTCTCGATAGTTGCATTTGTATATGTAATAGCATGGTTTCGAGTGAAATTTCTAAAAAACATGCACGAGTCCGAAGGACGAGTACAATTTGAAATACTTTGAAAAACTCACGAGTGGATGTTTTCCAAATTGCACGAGAAACCATGCTATTACTTATTAATAATATACATGAGAACATTTCTCAATTCTGTTGACTTTTAACTTTTGCGTACGTACAATTCAAGCGGCTAGTTATTAATATCGACTGGCTCGTATATTTCAATTCCGTGGGATATTACTTTTCACAACACTATAGCTTCCGCACACCGCTAAAACAAGGTATCTACTTTTAGCAGTGTTCATATTTGTATGCAGAAACATCTTTAAAACGGTAAACTCGTTTGCCAAAGAAAATCTACTTAAAACTTACGCCAGCCATTGTAAATGCTTTGTTTACAATAATGTAATTTTCCCGCCTTTGAAATGTTTTATTTTGAGTGACTCTTGTATTACTTCTTTGTTTGACTAACCAATCAGGAGCAGTTTTGAAGAGAAATCAGCACTGGTGTTTCGTTTTTTTGCCCTGGTGTTTTGCTTTTTTGCACAGTTGTTTCGGTTTTTTGCACTGGTATTTAGGAAAAGATTTTCACTTCAAACAAGAAATTCTTTGCTATGGCGATTAACTATACAGCAAGCATTTGTTTTCATATTACATTGTTGTTCCTCAAATTAAATCTTACTATCAAAATAAAAACTTTCGGGCCCAAAAAACTCTGGGGACCAAGAAACCTTTAGGCCCCCGGCATGGTCCATGTGGGCCTATTAGTAACGCGGCACTGGAAGGGATGAAAATTTTTGAATTGATGAAAGAATACACTATTCAGAAGACTTTTAAATGTGTGTTTGTATGTATCTCACCTGCGATCTTTGGTATTACAATACACACATTGCAGTGGCTTGAATATTGTAAAGATTTAACCGTCTTGTAAAATCCAAACAGCTTTTCCCGTTATGTAATCCATATATTTTTTAGTTATATGACGGTTTTTGCTGAAATACTTCCGTTAAATGGGCAAACTTGTAGCAACACTTGTTAAAATACATCAAATTTATTATATATTTTTGCAAGTCATAAAATGAATATCCTTGTTCCAGCTTTTTCAAATCAGAACGAC